TCATATTTAATGAAACAGCAACATACCTATGCAGATTTGCCTTGTGTGTAAATTTAAAACATGCTTTTTCTGTAAAGATGCTTTAAAACAGTATGCATTGTAAATATTCATTGTCTAGTCACTTGACTTGCAAAACACTAAAGAGAGCTGTTAGATCGATATATAATGTTGGCTGGCTTATATTTCCTGTAGGATTTCCTGGTCTTAAGGGCATTTTTGGATTGGATGGCCTAAAAGGTCAAAAGGGTATCACGGGTGTTGCAGGTACCTCTAGAGTATAGGACTGATCACATTATACACCTTGTTGTCTTCACGTATGAATAATAATTGTTACATGATTTTCATTTTAGAAAAGTTTGTTGTTGTTATTATTGTTATTATATCATTATATGCAGAAATTACATCTTTGATATGTTGGTATGTAATGACCGCTTTGGTATGGTTTGTCCCCTGCAAGGTTCTGACAACTTGGGTCCTTCTGGTGAGCCAGGAACAAAAGGAGAGAGAGGAGAGACCGGCATCCCCAGCACAGAGGCTGGTGTCCCCGGAGAGGTGGGATTCAAGGGTTTCATTGGAGATCCAGGTAGCTCAAAATGTCAAACCTCATATTCTGAAACTGGAGTTTCGTGCATTGTTTATTTGATGCAGCTATGCATCAGTTCTACACTGACACTGCTGTGTTTACAGGTAATAAGGGTGAATCTGGGCATCCTGGTGTACCGGGGCCTCGGGGTCAACAAGGATTCTCTGATATAAAAGGAGTGCAAGGCGACTATGGCTTTCCAGGCCAACAAGGACTTCCAGGTGAAGGGCTCGTTCCTATATATTTACAATAAACACTAGTAATGAGTCCTGGAGACAGTATAAGGATGAGGAGATGGAATACTTTAGTTGATTTTGGCTCTCAATTATTAACAACCATTTGAAATAACATTTAGCAGGATGAATATGTTTTGTAAGTGACTGAAGTAAATATATAGTGTCACTTTGCCTCACAAGAAATAGCTTATTTCTGAATCTACAATCTTTCTTGAAAATTAATTCTGAGAATGTTCCATCTTGTCTGAAACCCGTTGCTGTTATCATTTAGGTTTCCCTGGCCCCAGAGGGATCCCAGGTGACCCTTCTCCATTTGGAGCAAAAGGACAGAAAGGAAATCCAGGTGATTTTGGATTGACTGGAGAAAAAGGAGTCCAGGGGGGCGCAGGACAGAAAGGACCGTCAGGGGAACCTGGAGTGTCAGGAAGAAAAGGTAGATTATGAAATATGATTTCATTGCATTGGCAAAATCAAAACGTAAGACCAGTAGTCATTATGTTAAGACAATTACACCATGCACTTTCTCACCTTCTCACATGAAAATCATATTAGATGAGCAATGTTTAGATTGTTTACTTTGTTCCAGTATGAACCTTAACTGAAAAATAACTGTAATGATGTAAGAATGCTTTGTTTCATTTCAAGGTGTAAATGGAGAACCAGGAATGATGGGATTCCCAGGAAGGCGTGGTTTTGAAGGTGATAGGGGCCCTGTTGGACCTAAAGGAGATACCGGACCCCCAGGTGAGTTGAAATGATTTGTTGGCATAACCCTTTTAATCCCAAATACAACATCAATGGAAAGCTTATTTATTCAGCTTTCATATGTTGTTTAAATCTGAATGTCGAAAAATGTACCCTTATGACTGGTTTTGTGGTCCAGGGTCACATACTTAATTTTTTCTGACCTGCATCTTTTAAAGAGTGACAGTGCTTGACCAGTAGATCTAAATGTGTTGGCTGCAATGGGATTTGGATCTAGATTGTATATTGAACATTTAACTTTTCTTATTATTTCAGACCAGATATGATGTCAGGAAGATTTGTTGCAATGTCTGAAATAATTTTGCACTTATCCATTCTCTCTACCTTGTTGCTTCAGGTTTTCCTGGCTTACCTGGTGCTAAAGGACTTCCACCAGTTCCACAGAAACTACCAGGTGAGAGAGGACCACCTGGCCCAATGGGTATTCAAGGACCACAGGGACGGAGTGGAAACTTCGGTCCTGCTGGACCTCCTGGTGATTCAGGTAGGATAATTAAAAGCCTCAATTTTAAACAAATATATCCATGAATATGATGCTTTTGCTGTGCTCCAGAATCATTGTGTAAATGGCTATTATCGGTTTACAGGGATTTGGGGTCCAAAGGGTGAAAAAGGCATGCCAGGTCTCCCTGGAATACCAGGAAATCCAGGCTTCCGTGGAGACCCTGGACAAATGGGCCACCCTGGTCTACAAGGCGAAGAAGGTAAATGGTGTGTTTGTGTAAGAGGGATGAGGATTATGGGATTCTGGGCTAGATTAGTGGATTAAGGATTGTAGATGACTGGTCACCAATGAAATGTGTGCCTTTCATTTTTAAGTCATTTTGGCAACTGGCAATGTTAATGTCATTTTGGTGGCTGGCATGTAAATAGGCTTCTTTGCTCACAAGTTGATAATGAATCTCAATTGGTAGGGACGCGAGGGGGTCCTGGTTCATCTGGTCCTATCGGAATGCCTGGCCGCAGTGTCAATGTTGGCTACCTGCTGGTGAAGCACAGTCAGTCTGAGCAGATTCCCATGTGCCCTGTGGGCATGTCCAAGTTATGGGACGGTTACAGTCTTCTGTACTTTGAGGGACAGGAGAAGGCCCACAACCAAGATCTTGGTAAGTGCAGCTGGCAAAGTAATAAAATCAATCACAAGATGTACAGTTATTGCATGTCTGACACCACCATTATTTGCAAAAATTTTGATCCAGAATCTGAATGTTGAATTTCGTAACACTGTTCAGTGTAGCTTATGAAATTGAACATGTGTTGTCTACAGTGTTGCTAAAGTTACTCACCAGAAGTAACCCATTACAGATACTCATTGCTTATAATGGAATCACATTACTTTGTCATTAGGAAAATGAAAAAGAAATCACAATACTAAAATCAATCACAAGATGTACAGTTATTGCATGTCTGACACCACCATTATTTGCAAAAATTTAGATCCAGAATCTGAATGTTGAATTTCGTAACACTGTTCAGTGTAGCTTATGAAATTGAACATGTGTTGTCTACAGTGTTGCTAAAGTTACTCACCAGAAGTAACCCATTACAGATACTCATTGCTTATAATGGAATCACATTACTTTCTCATTAGGAAAATGAAAAAGAAATCACAATATTGTTTTTACTTTTCAGTTACATTTTCTAAAACTCCTTCATATCGATGAAACAAAATGTAGCACCCAATACATAATGCTTATCTATCATACGACATATAAAAAACACTAGTACTGTTTTAGTATGCACACAAACTTAATTTCAAACAAACAAAAACTAAGGGTGTATTCACACCAGGAAAGTCCGCTAGTTCACTTGCTTTGGTCCGGACCAAATCCAATGTTGATTTTTTTGGTTTGGTGCGGTTCACTTTCACACTGCCCTTTTTGCAAGTGAACCAAAAACTATAAACAAAACCACACGTGTGCTAAGGTCATCCATTCATTTGTTCATCCATTCAACCGAACCAGAGTTTGTTTGGACCCGGACAGAGACCACCTCTTCAGCTGGGTCTCAGTACGGTTGTTTGGTCTGCACCCGAGTGCGATTGCTGTATTCACACCTGCCCAAAAGATCTGCACCAAGGGGGGAAACAAACTTGCGTTCGATTCAATCGAACCAAACTAGACAGGTGTAAATGCACCCTAATATAAAATCATAAATAACCAGTGAATCAGTAAATCATTTTACAAATTAGTTCAATTGATTCGAAGATTTTGAAAGATTTGTTTCTTCAATCACTGGTCAACAACAGACTTGTTTATGAACTTTTTTTTTCCCCACAATGCATTCCATGTAATTATTTTTTTTATTATTATATTATTATATGATATTACCATTTTAAAATGTGGAGTTAAGATTTTTATATGCTTTTGAAAGATGTCTCTTATTCTCACCAAGGTTGCATTTATTTGATCAAAATACAGTAAAGGCAGTAATATTGTGAAATATTATTACAATTTAAAATAACAGTTTTCTTTGTGAATATATTTTAAAATGTAATTTATTCCTGTGATGCAAAGCTGAATTTTCAGCATCATTACAGGCTTGAGTGTCACATGATCCTTTAGAAATCATTCTAATATGCTGATTTTCAGCTCAAGAAACATTTCTTATTATCATCAATGTTGAAAACAGTTAATAAAACAGTTCAAATAAATATTATATTGAAACAGTTATATTAAGTAATTATATTTAACTCAGTAACTGTACTTTGTGCTTTTGTCATTCAGGTCTAGCCGGGTCATGTCTCCCCCGATTTAACACCATGCCCTTCCTATACTGCAATCCTGGAGACGTGTGCTACTATGCCAGCCGCAATGACAAATCCTATTGGCTGTCCACCACTGCACCAATTCCCATGATGCCCGTGGAGGAGGCCGAAATAAAACCATACATCAGCCGCTGCTCCGTGTGTGAAGCTCCATCTGTGGCCATCGCTGTACACAGTCAAGATATAACAATCCCAATGTGCCCAGCAGGCTGGAGAAGTCTCTGGATTGGCTACTCCTTCCTTATGGTGAGACTTCATCTCTAAAATGTTACACCTCCATCTTTTTTACCGTCCTCTAACTCATTCTGTCACTCTTTCACAGCACACGGCAGCTGGAGATGAAGGCGGCGGACAGTCTCTGGTGTCTCCAGGCTCCTGTCTAGAAGATTTCCGCACCACTCCCTTCATCGAGTGTAACGGGGCCAAGGGTACGTGCCACTACTTCGCCAACAAGCAGAGTTTCTGGTTGACATCTATCGATCAGACCTTCCAGAGTTCCCCTTCCTCTGAGACACTGAAAGCCGGTCAGCTCTTGGCACGCATCAGCCGCTGCCAAGTGTGTATGAAGAACCTGTGAGCTGTTACCCATCAACATATTTGACACTATTGCAGCAAAGCAGCATTATAATTAACTCGAGCAGAACGGGCCATGCTAATACTTCATTCCAAATGTCAACCGGATGGCAACATCACAAGTTAGGCTTTTAAAATTACTTCATGTATTTAATGTATCACATATGATGCCCTCAGAGTCCCTCTTCAACACTACTGTGTGCCTTATGACTGAAGATACAGTGGGGCAAAAAAGTATTTAGTCAGCCACCAATTGTGCAAGTTCTCCCACTTAAAAAGATGAGAGAGGCCTGTAATTTTCATCATAGGTATACCTCAACTATGAGAGACAAAATGAGAAAAAAAAATCCAGAAAATCACATTGTAGGATTTTTAAAGAATTAATTGGTAAATTCCTCGGTAAAATAAGTATTTGGTCACCTACAAACAAGCAAGAGTTCTGGCTCTCACAGACCTGTAACTTCTTATTT